AAGATGGTCAGCTTAAGGTTCGAGTTCGAGACAATCGACTTGCACTTGATCGTCTTCCCGTTGGCAGTGATGCTTCGGACTTTGCCGTTTTCGAGATTGATCTTCTCGACATCCACATTGATACGCACGTCGACGCCTGACTTGATCAAGTCTTCGTGCATCAACGTGATCAGGCGATCGGTTCCCCCTTGGAAGGTGAACACCCCTTTGCTCATGAAGTTCGAGAAGACAATCCCGTAGCTGATCGCGGGATCTTCCAGCGTCGAGCCGTTGGCATAGGTTATCGGCTCCATCAATAGACGCACGACATCTTCGCGGCCGGGAAAGAACTTCTCGAAGAGCTCCTTCGTCGTCGTCCCCTGATCATCGTAGAAATTCATGCCGCGCGCGGTGTCGAAGAACGCTTTAACTGTTTCTTCCGGCAGCTTGAACTCAGTGATCAACAACTTCGTGAAGTCGTCACGGTTGAACGTCGTCGACAGCGAAAACATCGGGTTGTCGAAGCGAATGTTTTTCAACTGCACGATCGAATCGGCGATCTCACGCGTCCAATAACGCTTGCAGCTTTTGATCATCCCGATTGGGAAACCATGCAGCGAGATGTCGAAGATGTGCCCGCCAGGTCGCTTGAACCAAGTGGCCATGCCACCAAGTTTGTAATGCTGTTCGCAGAGCAGCACGCTTCGTCCTTGACGAGCCAGCGTATTCGCCGCCGTTAGCCCTGCCAGGCCACTACCAATGACGACAACGTCATATTCGTCCTGTGTATCTTTCAGAAAATCTTTCGGCATGATCTACCTGTTACTCGTCTGTCGTCTCGTAGGGTGCGTCTTGACGCACCAAGTGTTCGGTATTCAGCTGGCTCGGCGTTGTCGTAGACGTGCATCGAGACGCACCCTACGTCTGTTTGGGTTAGCCAGCGTCTCGCAGGCAATATCGGTTGGCGACCGATACGCCGCTCATGATGGAACCAATGATCCCGACGTAGCCTTGATCGGTTCCACAAATATAAAGGTTTTCCAAGTGCGTGGTGCCGTCGAGGTGCTTTTCCGGGGCACCATATACGGCACCATTTTTGTGCCAGGTGTATCGATGAATTGTCTTCGGCGTGAACATATCGACCGCCACCACATGCCGGCGAAACTCTGGGATGACCCGCACGACGCTGTCGCTGATTAAATCGTACCAGCGGTTT